CTCGTCTTGGGATCTTACAATGGGTGAATAAAAGGCGTGGCTTAAGACATGAGGGCCGTTCTCTCCCCCCGTTTGTAGCCACTTGTAATCTATTTGACTGTGTTCAAAAGGTGTCGTTAAAGGAAAAGTGACATGAGCTGTTTGTGCCAACGAAGTAGATCTAGTTACTTTTGCAATGTTTATGAATTTGTGATTTTAAAAAATGAAATTTTGATAAATTTATTTTTACTCTTTTAATTTTTTTATTGCCTTTCTAGGGGTATCAGGGGTTTAGGGGTGGGGGTAGGCTTCTCTAACTAATATATTGTCATGAGGCCTTATTTACTACTAAAAATAATAATAGTTCCGTTTCCGATCTTCCTTCAGCATCTATTCCGGCGAAGAAACAAGTGAGAAAGGCTGGTCACTGTGTGTCGGTCTTCTTTGGGAGAACAAGTCTTTGATGTCTACTGATCACTGTTGGGTGGCCGCTCTTTGTTTCCTTCTGGCCATTGCAGCGTAGTCTTTGATGTCTACTGGTCACTGTTGGGTGGCCGCTCTTTGTTTCCTTCTGGTCATTGCAGCGTAGTCTTTGATGTCTACTGGTCACTGTTGGGTAGCCGCCCTTTGTTACCTTCTGGCCATTGCAGCGTAGTCTTTGATGTCTACTGGTCACTGTTGGGTGGCCGCCCTTTGTTACCTTCTGGCCATTGCAGCGTAGTCTTTGATGGAGACAATGGAAGCCACGGAAAAGAAAGTGTCGTGAATCTTTGTTGATGTTTTTGAAGACAAAAAATAAATCCTTAGATAATACGGTGGTAACAATTAATAGAACCACATAATAGTGTCAACCCAATAGTACCATGTTAACATATTGTTTTCTAGTTAGGTAAAAGAACCGATTAAGAAAAAACACCAAAAAAATGAAAGCAAGTAAATGACTTTGTGACACAGAAGTTACAGAGGGGTCCCGCTCGCATGTTGCTCCGTTGAGCTTTCTCAAATTTTTAAAAATAATTTTGTTCTGCTATAAATTGTTTGCAGAAAAATAAAACGATAAGAGGTTTCTTTAACTATGTTGCATTTTGTACAACATAATAATATGTGAGCTTGTGAGAATGGCTGGTCAGTGTGTGTCCGCCTTCTTTGGGGAAGCTGCCCTTTTGATCTCTGCTTGCCATTTTTAGGTGACCGTCCTTTGATGTGTACTGGTCACTTGCCAATGTTGAATGACCACCCTTTGATGTCTGGTGGTCACTGTGGTGATGTCTCTGGTGTAGACAATGAAAGCCGTGTCAAACCAGGGGCCAACATTAGATAATAGTCACAAAGATTAATTGTTTGTTTTATTTACATAATAAAATCAAACATGTTATCTTTAGATAGTATTCATTACGTTATCTTACCTTTGGCCTTCACTAAAGTTTACTAACGTCATTTTACAAACATCAGTGCGTCTGTTTATATTAAGGGTTTCTTTATTTAAAACATTGTCTCGATGCCTCATTTACTACTGAGAAAGGCTGGTCACTGTGTGTCGATCTTCTTTGGGAAAGCCGCTCTTTGACGTGTGCTAGTCACGGCTGGGTCACCGCCCTTTGGTGTCTGGTAGTTGTTATTGCGTGACTTCCCTTTGATGTCAACTGGTCACAATTGGGTTACCGCCCTTTGGTATCAGGTGGTCCCTTTGATTTCTGATGGTCAGTGTTGGATGACCGCCTTTTAATATTTGCTGGTCTCTACTGGGTGACTGTCCTTTGATGCCTACTGGTCATAGCTGCGGAGTCTATGATGTAGACAATGGAATCCGTGTGAAAGCAAGGGTGGAAAATCGGCGTTGATATGTATGACAACAACCCCTCCCCCCCAAATAAATGTTGTTGGGTTTTTTTAATAAACCAAAACCAGCAACAACAACAACAAAAACAACAACAACAACAGGGAAAATGCACTGCTAACAAATTAATCATGGGGGCTCATACTATTCTCAACCAATTGATCAGCCAAAGAGATGTCTAACTTATTATAATTTTACTTACCGTGCTCATATATATATAGAGATATCTTTTTCTATAAGTAAAGTAAAGTAACGTTGTTCCCGAATCCGATCCGGACATTGGGGATCGCCTTGTTAGTGAGACAACTTCCTCGGCCTTTTCTATGAGTAACAATTGAAAAGAAAGAAAAAGGAAACAAAACAAAACAAACAAAACAAAACAAAACAAAACAACCATAAAAGGAAAGTCAAGACTGAGAGAATTTTACTTTGTGGAAAGAAAGGTTGCTGTTTTTACTTTTTCAAACTTGTCAAAATAATTATTCTATTTTCTTTAGCATCAAATCGTTCGCAGGAAAATATGAGAAGAGTTTCTTTAACTGTGTTGCACTTTGTACATCATCTGTGAGCTTGTGAGAGTGGCTGGTCAGTGTGTGTCGTCCTTCTTTGGGGAAGCCGCCCTTTGATGTCTGATGGTCATTGTTGGGTGACCGCCGTTTAATGTCTGATGGTCATTGTTGGGTGACCACCCCTTGATGTCTTATGGTCATTGTTGGATGACCGCCCTTTGATGTCTGATGGTCATTGTTGGGTGACCGCCCTTTGATGTCTGATGGTCATTGTTGGATGACCGCCCTTTGAT